ATGGGGTGGGCACTAATCCCACTAGACCAGACTGAAACAACATACCAATGATGGGGAGGTGTCATCTATTCCTCCCACTGAGTTGACACCAATGAAGGGCGACACTATTTCCTCCCACTTGACACAATGATGGCGGACCCCCACTGATACAAATGACCTCCCACTGATTCTACCCACTGCACACCAATGACTTCGGGGCACTATCCTCCCACCCACTGATACCACAATGATTGGCGGGCACTATTCCTCCCACACCAATGATGGGGCCACTATTCCTCCCACTGACACCAATGATAGGGGCAAACTAAATTCCTCCCACTGACACCAATGATGGGGCACTATTCCTCCCACTGACGTGATACCAATGATGGGGCAAAACTATTCCTCCCACTGACACCAATGATGAGGGGGCACTATTCCATCCCACTGACACCAAATGATGGGGCACTATTCCTCTCTCCCACTGATGTGACCAATGATGGGGGCACTATTTCACATCCACTGGACACAATTGATGGGGCACTATTCCTCCCACTGCCACCAATGATGGGCACGGTATTCCTTCCTCCGCACTGATACCAAATTGATGGGGCACTATTCCTCCCACTGTACCACCAATGATGGGGCAACTTTATCCTCCCCCACTGATACCAATGCCTAGGGGCACCACTATTCCTCCCACTGACCAAATGAAATCGGGCACTTATTCCTCCCACTGATACACAAATGATGGGGCACCCATTCCCTCCCACTGATAACCAAGTGATAGGGCACTATTCTCCCACTGATACTCACCACAATGATGGGGCACTATTCCTCCTAACCGCTGATACGACAAATGATGGGGCACTACGTAACTTCCTAATTCCTCCCACTGTACACCAAACGCTGTGGCAACCTATTCCTACCACTCCGATTACCAATCGATTGGGAGCACCATTCCCGCCCACTTACACAAATATTAGCACAATGATGTATACATTGGGACAGAAAGGACCTTGCGCTGACCTTGTAGGAGGTAATTATTTGTCCACTTGTTTTGATACGTTTGACACCGATGAAGTACACTGGACTGCACGTGACTAGGGTCGTGTCCGGACACAATACAGATAAGCAGGAAGCCATTGTACTAGTAGAAGGTGAAGAGTCCGCCAACATCGCAGTGCAGGAATTGTGAAGCTCGTGTCACACTGGAGCAGGGATACCGCGGGTGTCAGCCACACCCACATGTACAACCATCCAAATTGTCTTTTTTTTTCCCTGTTACTCATTTCCTAATAAGAGAAAATAGTTTTTTTTTTCCACTTGTAGAACATTTTGGTTTCCATTACTGTTTTAGTCATTAACTTTTCATCGCTCAAATGGTTTTGGGGGTGATTTTCCCCAAAAAATAAAAGTCCGGCTGCCAAGCTGCAACTCCGAAGTGTACAAGATTATGACTTGACTCTGAAAGGGATGATAACGCCGAAGTCATAAGGTCCCCATTGAAAAATGGTTCAAATGTCTTCCTTCAATATCTGACCTAAACCAGACTTGAACCCGAGACTCCCAGAGACATGAGAAGAACAGCTTATCCAGTTTTCCGAGCTGCGCTGCTTTGGCTCCAGGATGACTTTATCTGAGCATGCGGTGGAATTGGCCACTGTTCGTCCTTTGGGGCAATGAGGGTACATTGCTACATGCTTCAGATACTCGGAGATCTCTGTTACTTCTCAGACCGCTCTGATCGAATGAAATGTGGCAGGTCAGGTGGCTTTGTGTCCTGAACATGATACGGGTTTACTGAGGTTCCTCAGGTGCTCTTCCATATGAAAATATTCTAAATGTTAATTTCTTCCCACAAATCTTCATCGGAAAAGTGTAAGAATACAAAAATACCCATTAATGTGACCATTTTTTTGAGTAATATCATATCTCTTGATATTGGCGCTATGGAAACATGACCAACCTTCTAACCTTTTGGATACTTCTAGGCAAGTGCAGTCTACTTTCTGCACTGTAGGTGGCACTTGTCCGCGGCGGCATTGCAGTTAGACAGAGTCAAGAGGAATATGGTCCCTCTATGGTTTCTTGGGTCACCGGGAAGCAATGAATGCTGCTGCCCCATGTGACTCTAGCAGCCATCTTGGGTCAGGCAGAGCCTATTCAAGATCAAAAAAAGAAAAGAAAATACCCAGTTCAACTTGCCAGCCAGCTAGCCAACAACTGAATTAACCTGATCACCAGCAAGGCTCCCTTCGTCCATCCACTACACATCTGCACCAGAGGCTGGTCAGTAGCTCTGAGAAAGGGATTCGTCCCCGAAACGCATCACAATTTGACCGCACTGACAGTGAGAACACCTTGCTTGCCGTTGTGGCCATCGTCATTATGCAAATGCCTTTTAGATACGCGCTTCGTCTGTGAGTATGTTTTTGTATGTTTTTATCTTTTATACCTTTCAATAAACCTTGGATAATGCACTCGGTGTGTGCGCCACCGGTCTGTTCTCTAACCAAATTAACCTGTCTAACAATGTGCGTTTATATACAGGCGTTTAGTTAGCACACATTTGCAAATACATACGTAAGCCACAGAGCCACGTCGCGGCACCCCGATATTCTGTGGTCCTAACTCTACAAATCTTGAGAGCCCTCATAGTGGAGGCAACATACATTTAATGGATATACCGAGGGCAGGTGAACCTGAGGGAGCCCACCCCTCCTTAACCACAAGCCTGCAGGGCACTTCTACCCCCTTCCTGCCTACAGGGCACTTCTACCCCCTTCCTGCCTACAGGGCACTTCTACCCCCTTCCTGCCTACAGGGCACTTCTACCCCCTCCCTGCCTACCGGGCACTTCTACCCCCCTTCCTGCCTACCGGACACTTCTACCCCCTTCCTGCCTACCAGGCACTTCCACCCCCTTCCTGCCTACAGGCACTTCTACCCCCTTCCTGCCTACAGGGCACTTCTACCCCCTTCCTGCCTACAGGGCACTTCTACCCCCTTCCTGCCTACCGGGCACTTCTACCCCCTTCCTGCCTACAGGGCACTTCTACCCCCTTCCTGCCTACAGGGCACTTCTACCCCCTTCCTGCCTGCGGGCACCTCTACCCCCCTTCCTGCTACAGGGCACTTCTACCCCCTTCCTGCTGCCTACCGGACACTTCTACCCCCTTCCTGCCTACAGGACACTTCTACCCCCTTCTGCCTACAGGGCACTTCTACCCCCTTCCTGCCTACAGGGCACTTCTACCCCCTTCCTGCCTACCGGGCACTTCTTCTACCCCCTTCCTGCCTACAGGACACTTCTCCCCCCTTCCTGCCTACAGGGCACTTCTACCCCCTTCCTTCCTGCCTACCGGGCACTTCTACCCCCTTCCTGCTACCGGACACTTCTACCCCCTTCCTGCCCTACCGGGCACTTCTACCCCCTTCCCGCCTACAGGGTACTTCTACCCCCTTCCTGCCTACAGGGCACTTCTACCCCCTTCCTGCCTACAGGGCACTTCTCTACCCCTTCCTGCCTACCGGGCACTTCTACCCCTTCCTGCCTGCCGGGCACTTCTACCCCCTTCCTGCCTACAGGGCACTTCTACCCCCTTCCTGCCTACCGGACACTTCTACCCCCTTCCTGCCTACAGGACACTTCTACCCCCTTCCTGCCTACAGGGCACTTCTACCCCCTTCCTGCCTACAGGCACTTCTAATACCCCCTCCCTGCCTACAGGGCACTTCTACCCCCTTCCTGCCTACCAGGCACTTCCACCCCCTTCCTGCCTACAGGCACTTCTAGCCCCCTTCCTGCCTACAGGGCACTTCTACCCCCTTCCTGCCTACAGGGCACTTCTACCCCCTTCCTGCCTACCGGGCACTTCTACCCCCTTCCTGCCTACAGGGCACTTCTACCCCCTTCCTGCCTACAGGGCATTTCTACCCCCTTCCTGCCTACCGGGCACTTCTACCCCCCCCCCCTGCCTGCCGGGCACTTCTACCCCCCTTCCTGCCTACAGGGCAACTTCTACCCCCTTCCTGCCTACCGGACACTTCTACCCCTTCCTGCCTACCGGGCACTTCTCCCCCCTTCCTGCCTACAGGACACTTCTCCCCCCCCTTCCTGCCTACAGGACACTTCTACCCCCTTCCTGCCTACCGGGCACTTCTTACCCCCTTCCTGCCTACCGGACACTTCTACCCCCTTCCTGCCTACCGGGCACTTCTACCCCCTTCCCGCCTACAGGGTACTTCTACCCCCTTCCGCCTACAGGGCACTTCTACCCCCTTCCTGCCTACAGGGCACTTCTACCCCCTTCCTGCCTGCCGGGCACTTCTACCCCCTTCCTGCCTGCCGGGCACTTCTACCCCCTTCCTGCCTACAGGGCACTTCTACCCCCTTCCTGCCTACCGGACACTTCTACCCCCTTCCTGCCTACAGGACACTTCTACCCCCTTCCTGCCTACAGGGCACTTCTACCCCCTTCCTGCCTACAGGGCACTTCTACCCCCTTCCTGCCTACCGGGGCACTTCTACCCCCTTCCTGCCTACAGGACACTTCTCCCCCCGTTCCTGCCTACAGGGCACTTCTACCCCCTTCCTGCCTACCAGGCACTTCTACCCCCTTCCTGCCTACCGGACACTTTCTACCCCCTTCCTGCCTACCGGGCACTTCTACCCCCTTCCCGCCTACAGGGCACTTCTACCCCCTTCCTGCCCAGGCCAATTTCCAGCTTTCAGCGCTGTCGCAGTTTGAGTGATAATTGCGCGGTCATGCAACACTGTACGCATATGAAATTTTTATCATTCATTCCGAGCTGAGTTTTATTTTGGTGGTATTTAATCACCTCAGGATTTTTTTTTTTTAAAAAACCAAAAACCACTGAAAATTTTGAAAAAAAAAAAAAAAGTTTTTTTTCTTAGTTTTTGTTATAAAATTTTGTAAATAAGTGATTTTTCTCCTTCACTGATGTGCGCTAATGAGGCAGCACTGATGGGCACTGATAGGTGGCACTGATGGGCACTGATGAGGAGGCACTGATAGGTGGCACTGATTGGCATTGATAGGTGGCACTGACTGGCACTGATGGGTGACACTGAAAGGCAGCTCAGATGGGCACGCTGATATGTGGCATTGATGTGCACTGGTAGGCACTGATATGTGGCATTGATGTGGCACTGATGGCCACTGGCATGAGGCACTGATGAGCACTGACAGCTGGCACTGATGGACACTGACAGGTGGCACTGCTGGGGCTACACTGATCATCAGGGCACACTGATCATCAGTGCTCTGATGATCAGTGTACATGTCCCCTCCGCGGAAAGCCGATTACCGGCTCTCCCTCTCTCTGTCAGCGTGACGGCTCAGAGGAGAGAAATGCCGATAACCGGCATTTCCGTGTTTACATGTGATCACTGTGATTGGGACACAGCTAATCACATGACCGAGCTGACATCTTCGGCTCTTTCCGTGATCGGTGATCCGCTGTGTCCGAGGGACACAGCGCACCACCTATCGCCGCGCTGCGCGCTCCCTGAGCCGCGCATGCGCGGTGAGAATGGTGAGAGGACGTCATATGATGTCCTCCCAGAACGAGAGAACTGCCTTGCGTCCGTCATATTACTATATGGCAGGGTTGGAGGCGGTTAAAGGCACTATCTATTAAATGCATGTACCTCTACTAGGAGGGATCTCAAAATTTGTAGAGTTAGGACCACAGAATATTCAGGGTGCCGTGCCGTGGCTCTGTGGCTTACGTATGTATTTGCAAATGTGTGCTAACTAAACCCCTGTTATAAATGCACATTGTTAGACAGGTTAATTTGGTTGTTGGCTAACTGGCTGGCAAGCTGAACTAGGTATTTTCTTTTCTTTTTTTGATATGCGATGCCCCTGTCCATGTTCCTTGTTGTAAAAGCCAGTTATAGACCAGGGCAGTGACCACCTTCTTGTAGAGCCTATTCAAGACCCTGACTCCCAGGCTTGGCACGCATTTCAAGTGAGCAGAGTAGGAACAGGTACCCCCGTCTGTCAGGGACAGTATTAGCGGTGGGGAAAGGTTCCAGATGAAGAGGGAAAGTCAGGGCCTGGAATGAGCGAAGCTAAAAAGGGAGTGCCAGCATGACTAGGGCTTGGCCTAGTCCTTGGCCTAGTAGGCCAAGGACTACATGACTAGGACTAGCATGACTAGGCTACATGACAAGGAATAGCATGACTAGGGCTTGACCTAGTAGGGTGGAGAATGGATTGCGGTGGGGAGTATATGCAGGAGGTGGGGGTGGTTACTCCCCTGATTGGCGTAAGCGAGCTTGAGGGGTGGTCTTGCCAGGATGAGGAGAGGGGTTGGGACTTGTCGGAGGTCAGTGGGAGCTTGTGCCAGCACGGGTGTGGTTTCTCTCGCCCTCTCTCCCTGGAGCTGTTTGTTGTTTTTTTTTGTTTTTTTGTTTGCTTTGGTTATTGGTTTGTCCTGTTTGTTTGTCTTGTTGTTTGCTTGTGTGGGTTCATTGATTTGTTTTCTTTTCCTGCTCAGCATTTGGTGTCCTGTGGTGTTTGTCTGGTTTTCTATTTTGTCATGGCAGCCGGCAGGGGTCGATGGGTCTTTGAAGGCGGTGCAGGAGTGATAATTTGGTGGATTATGGGTTGGGCCCATCGTAGGTATGGGTGTTCCTTCCCAATTATAAGGTCATGTTGGTAACGTGGGAGTTCATTGGCTGTGTCTGGGACTACGTAACTGTAGTATGTCCCCGAGGCGGTGTAGTAGCGGCTGGGGGCCTTTCCATTGGGTATCAGATACAGCCGAGTTATTGATGTCAGTAACGGTGCCTTCGAAGACCTTGGACCCGGTTGGGGTCATTACTGGCAGTTATTTTTTTGATTGTACTGTAAGAAGAGTTATGTGAAATAAATGGCTGCTATGGCCGGTTTTACACCAAAAGGAGAGTTGCGTGATCAGGGGCGGACTGACAGCTCATGGGGCCCCCCGGGCAATAGGGGATCATGGGGCCCCTGTGTCCTTGCCCACACTCAAAGCACACCCAAAAAAGCCTATAAAAGGTACCAGGGGCATTTCATGGGGCCCCGTACTGACCCCGGGCCCTCGGGCACAGCCCGAGTGCTCGAATGGTCAGTCCGCCGCCTGCGTGTGGTTATTTAGGTGGGGAAGGTTGAAGGGGTGGTTGTTTTAAAGTTTAGGTGGTAAGTATTAGCCTCGATATTCTGCACGTCCCTCAGTCAAGAGTAGAGTTCACAACTTCTCTGGACATCTTCCCGCTTGGGCACAAGACAGCCAGGCCATAGTCTGCCCCTCCAAAACCGGCTCTCTGCACGCTGCTGGATTTCATGAACTGCCTTCCCACCGGGATTATTGTGAACCGTCTTTGCCTTACTTCAGTACAAGGTCTTATATTGCACCAGGGACTGTACGTGTTATTGCCACGCTGCGTCCACCTAAATACTGAACACTTAGAATGTAGAAGATGTTCATCAGTGACCGAAGTCTAACAAAGCCTTGGGTCCAGGGGCGGACTGACCATTCAAGCACTCGGGCACTGCCCGAGGGCCCTGGGGTCAGTAGGGGGCCCCATGAAATGCCCCTGGTACCTTTATTATAGGCTTTTTTGAGTGTGGGCAAGGACACAGGGGCCCCATGATCCCCTATTGCCTGGGTGCCCTATGAGTTATCAGTCTGCCCCTGCTGGGGTCATTCTATAAACCCTAGGGTGAGTATTGAGGAACGCCTAGTACAAAGGTTTAGGCCACTTAGAGGTCTTTTTTGAAATGTTCATTGGTAAAGTGCATCAAATAAATCCAATGAGTTCCAGGGGAAGGGACCCCCTTTCTCAGGACTTGAGCAGTGGGATTGTGTGACAGGAGTCACTTTGGTGGGGGGCCCATGGAACACAGCTCACTTTGGAGAGATGGGGAGTGACCCCTGTCTCAGCTCCCCATATTCCTCTTATGTGTAAGTCACCCTGTGCTGTTAGGGGGTACAGGGTGACTTGTCCTAATATTGGGGTGGGGGTTGTTCATATGTTTAATGCCATGTGGTTGCATCCCATTGTTCTATTGTGTGTCTTGCTTGGGAGCAGGGGTCGGACTGACCATTTCGAGCACTCGGGCACTGCCTGAGGGCGCCGGGTTTAGTAGGGGGCCCCTTGAGATGGCCCTTGTACCTTTTATAGGCTTTTTTGGGTGGGCTTTGAGTGTGGGCGAAGACACAAGGGCCCCATGATCCCTTATTGCCATGAGTTGTCAGTCCGCCCCTGCTTGGGAGCAAACTATTATGGGATGTATGTTTTTTGTGTATTGGCTTGGTGGGGGGTGTCTCCAGCCAGCCCTCCCTCCTGATGGGACTGTCTGCTGGTGTGTCTCTTGTTACTAAATGTAGTTTTTGCCCCCGCCCTGTCAGTCATTATGCAGGGGGGGGGATTGTTCCCTTGAATGTATATATCTTGTACCTGTTTAAAATAAAGTAGTCTATTTCCAAGGTTTTACCTCAAGAGTGGTGTCTGTGGTCGGTGTTCGGACGGGAAGCGGGAATACCCTGGTTGTGCAGTCGGGGTCCGGTTCCGTTACAGGAAGTTATTATAAAGGACGATGAGAGGCAGTAAGAGACCTATGTTTTAGGGCTTGAGAAGGACGACATTATGAACTCGAGGCTTTATTTGCATTTCAATCTGGTTTTTATTAGCTTTTGTAAATCAATTGAACAAGAAGAAGCAAAAAAGACACGCCCACGCGGGGGGGTGACTATCCAATGTTTGACATAAAAAAATAAAGAAATCAGTATTGTAACTCTGACAATGTAAGAGGCGCTGCCCACGTCAGGGGCCAAAACCAAGCAATAGGCGCATAAAATACAGAAACAGCGATTATAACACGCAACAAAAAATGTTCCAGCCCAAGGGAAAATATCTATCGCCTCCAATAATCAAACAAAAAACAGTAAAGAAGGAAGAAGAAAACAAGACCAGACGCGCAGAGATCCGGGAACTACGCATTTCACATTACAGCGCCATTAAAACCGAGACTAGCCGGGGGGGAGCGAGGGAAAGAAGCATGTGTCAACCACGGCTCCCATATTTTCAGGAAATTGTCCATTGGGAAGTCATTTACAGATAACCCGACATGCATTGAGCATCAGAGGTGGTCATACGGTCCCCCGCACCCCCCTTGAAGAGGGACATAGATGGACTCTTCCTATGCCTGGGCCAATTTGTTTTTAGTGGCCGATGCAGAAACAGAAGGAAGCCAGAACTTTTCTGCAGATCCGCGCCAACAGAACCCGGAGGACGTGGACAATGAAGCAAAAGCGCACGGAGCCTCTCGGTGTATCGGAGACGATGGAACAAGGTGGAGAACAAGGCCAAAGACACGAGACCAAAAACACAAAGCAATCTCGGACATGACCACCAGATATGCAGCTCAGTTTTTGGGGCTCCCAATTCACTAAAAACGAACATTGGGGAACTGAGAAAGTACAGGGAATGGGCGCAACCAAACTGGATACTGAGCATGGAGGAGATCAGCTATGAGGAGAGATTAGAGGAACTGAATGTATTCTCTACTGAGAAGAATAGAGATTAAGGGCATATGATCTCCATGTATAATACATAAGGGGGGATATGATCTCCATGTATAATACATAAGGGGGGAAATGAATCTCCATGCTTATAATACATAAGGGGGGATTAGTGATCTCCATTTATAATACATAAGGGGGGATATGATCTCCATGTATAATACATCAAGGGGGATATGATCTCACCATGTATAATACATAAGGGGGGATATGATCTCCATTTATAATATCAAGTAAGGGGGGGGGATATGATCCTCCATGTATAATATATAAGGGGTGGATATGATCTCCATTTATAATACATAAAGGGGGATAGATCGATCTCCATGAGTATAATACATAAGGGGGGATATGATCACCATGTATATAATACATAAGAGGGGGATATGAATCTCCATGTATAATATATAAAGGTGGGAATATGATCTCCATGTATAATACATAAGGGTGGGGATATGATCACCATGTATAATATACATAAAGGGGGGGGGGATATGATCTCCATGTATAATACATAAGGGGGGATATGATCTCCCATGTATAATATACATAAGGGGGGATATGAACTCCATGTATATGATACATAAGGGGGGGATCTGATCTCCATGGTATTAATACATAAGGGGGGATATGATCTCCATGTATATAATACATAAAGGGGGGGGATATGATCTCCATGTAATAATACATAAGGGGGGGGGATATGATCTCCATGTATAATACATAAGGGGGGGGGTTATATGATCTCCATGTATAAATACATAAGAGGTGAATATGTTCTCCATGTATAATACATAAGGGGGATACTGATCTCCATGTATAATACATAAGGTGGGGATATGATCTCCATGTATAATACATAAGGGGGGGATATGATCTCCATGTATTATACATAAGGGGGG